GGGGTAGGGGGGGCTGGATAGCTGCCTCATGAGGTCTGAAAATACCGCCTGGTACGGAAGAAAACGACGCCGATTCAGACGTGAAGGCGAAGCACTCTTCCCGTTCCGAGTAACATCAAAGGATGCCAAACAGCGCACGGATGCGTTGACAACCAACTTCGTGAGGCGCTCTTCTACTTTGGGTTGTGGGCTGTGGTCTATCTGGGGAGCACGAGGTCATCACCCAAGTGGGGCCCAGGAGCCATATTTTTCGGGGAGGGTGAAATGTTTCAAAAGGCGGCGCCAGGAAAACAAAACAAGGGAAGACGCACAAAAAATAGGCGCCTTTTTTCTCCCGTGAAAAACAACAGCTGTATCTCGACGACCACGACGACGATGGGCAAGCAGACTTCTGTGGTATAGATAGATGCATCAAGGCTAGGGAAGAGCACCTAGACCTGCTGCCGCATTGAATGACTACCCTCATGTCCCCTCTCGATAGGCAGTTTCTGCAAGGCACAGCAGCAGCGTCATCGACCTCCCCTCTCTTCTGTGTTATTTTATCAACAATCACATACAGCGAGCAGTCGTAGAATCAACGAGGTTAACGACAACAGCAGCAGCGGTAGGAGCGCCGGTTGTAGAGAGAGAGGTGGTGCTTCCACGATAAGGCCCGTGCTTGTCATGTGCGCAAAGTCTGTAAGAGATTACTCCTTCGACAGCAACCAAATTCAATAGGCAAGAAAAAAAAAACTTTGCGTGATGCTTCCACACCAAAAACACAGCAGCAGCACCAGGCATTACCAGAGCAAGGGTGTTCGCGCTGTTGCGTCTGGTAAATTATGGGCACAGTCACGCTGGGAATGCCGCTGCTCCGCTGTGTACGCCCCGCCCTGTCTTTGCTCTCCCTGCCGCCTCTGAAATACACGTAGTGTTTTCGCTCTGCCTCTCTCTCTCTCTCTCTCTCTCTCTCTGCTTCTTGCTCTCTCTACAATATATATAAATATATATGCCCACGGGTGTGCTGTGCATGCCGGGCGGTGTTCAAATATATCCGCTCATCGATGGAAACGAGGTCGTTCGTGGGTGTACAACTTCGTGTCCACATACTGACGGCCAGGCTCAAGAGAGTACAAAATAGCCGATGCCAACACCACAATGCAGCAAATGACGGAAAATCTTTGTGACGGCACCGATTTCTTCGGTACTGCTGTGTTTTTTTCGTTTCCGGTGGAGCAACATTCGTGTCAAACCAACGCTGCCGATACCTTGACGAATTGCGGTCTTAGTCCCGGTTTCGCGGTCCATAGTGTCACAAAATGTTACAACCGCTACTGAGAGCATCACCGCTTAACCGGATTGGCAGTTATGGGGTAGGTTGACTTCCGAGGTGCAGCCGTACCACGAGATTTTGGGACCGCTAGTCAGCGCACCCCGCTCAACAGGGAAGTAACCGCTAAGCCGGGACAACGGCTGCATCACACAAGACACGAGCCCTGCGGGATGCGTGGAAATCAACCCTAGACTCCCACTAACATCTGCCAAAGCGCGCACCTCCGACATGCCCCTGGTGGCAGAGCCAACGCTGTTGTTACTCGTGCCGCGGTTGAGTGCAGGTCTCCTGCCGCCGACGCCGCCACCACCACCGCCGCCGCCATCGCCGTCAATCGCCCGGCCTGCGGGAGAAAATAAACACAAGGCAGCCTTTTTAGGAGAGTTAGCGAAACCCTCGACGACCAATCCACGCGCACAATGTAAGTGGGTGCTTCCCCGCTTGGAATGTTATGAGGTAACCCTACCGCGCTGTACAGCGCGGTCCGCACTTATCGCACTATCGTGCGGTGAAGTACCATGGTTACTTGAAGTCCAGTCGCAGGAGCGGTGCCCAAAAATGTGTCAAGTGCTATGTATAGTACTGCTGTTGAGGAACCAATCCAAACGGGCAGGATGGCTTCTGGGTCCATTCGAGAGGACGACGCTGTAACCACTTCCGCAACGACGATAGCACGTGTAGAGACTCTTTGGCTGCAACGCAATGACTGCAGCCTGCTGGAAGGATTCGGCTGCCTGCTGTCCTGCTGTCGTGCGCAACTGGCGTGACTTGGGTTGAGTTTCGTGGCGCTCGAAAGGCATGTCATACAGCAGGGGCGACGCTAAGAACGCTGCTGCTGATGAAACAAATGGCGCCGCCGAAGACAAATGCCAGCAGAATACAGAAGTGCAATCTGAGCATTCTCCGAATCGTAGTGCACAGGGGTTGGTTGCTGCCCGCCGCGAGTACGGCACAGCAGGAGAGAGAGGGAGCGAGATGGTCGGTGGACAACGAGCGATCTTGCAGCACTGGCTTTCCGATTACAGTGTAAATAATCACCGCTTTATCCCAACATTTACCTGCCACCCACCCACCCACCCCTCCCCCG